CACTCAGGAGTGGAAAATTTCTTCTCCGAATATTATACAAAGTTTCAGCAACCTTTAGATTCATTTATCATTTAAATATTTCTTTTATTTTTTCCATATATTGCTGATACTCTGTACCGCGAGATTTAAATTAGTATCGAACGATTCAAAAGTCTTTGCGTTTTCTTGAAAATTAATTTTTTTTCGAAAAAGTGAAGATAGCTGAATACGTTGGATACTTACCTAATATTAAGTATATTAACGCTTTGCTCTTTAATAATTCTTACTGAAAATACTTCATTTGTTATATATGCATAGTAAATAAAAAGTAGTGTAAAGATAAAAGATAAAAGTGGTCGAGTAAAAAAGTAAGACTATAAGATGTATTACAAAGTTTCTGCTTTTGTTTGATATTATTTAATTTTTTAAATGCAAAGTGTTAATAATAGGTTCATCGATTAGATCGAATATCTGTTGAGGCATTTGAGTAAATGTTAAAAAAAGCCTCACAGCAGCGTTTAGGGCATGAAGAAAGAAGAGGCTAAATGCCGAAGAGACTAATGCCGAAGAGGCTCCCACAAATTTGTGGTATCAAGTGGGCAACTACTAGACTATTGAGTTATTTTCAAAGGTTCAACAGCAAGTTAGAACTTTTCGAGAATAGCTCTCTAGTCATATTTTATATTATATTACTTTTTTGCTCGTCATTAATTTGTAGTTGTAATTGGAGATGATGGATCATTCCATCTCCTTGGGACACCAAATTCGTGTCTATATCGTTCAAAAGATGCATATGTGTTAGTTACAGTCAAAAATATTAAAATTTTCGTAATATTAAATTTTGAAGCTTAAATAACGTTCGGTAAATATTACAGTAATTTCTTTTCTTGTTTCATCTTTAAAATTTGTCATTTTTATCGTATTTTATTATATTTGTAGTTTTTCTTTTCTATATAATGCAGATTAAAAATATTTCATAATAATTAATAGATATTATTTTTTCTTGTAATTTTTAATATTTGTAATTTCTCCTTTTTTTTTAAATTTATTTTACGTAAATGTAAAATCACGCGTGTAAATTTAATTTTATTGCAACGGTTAATAGAGATTTGAAAGAAGTAAATAGAGAATTCAATTGAAAAGTGCATCTGAGAATTGGACGACTTACATTTCAGGCCATTGTATCACTTGATTGTATGATTAATATAGTTTTCTTTTTGTTACAGGCGATCATCATTGGATTTATCATCTACTCGTTTTGATTTTCTTCTACTTTTTAATATATATATATATGTATAAAAAACGCATTTCTGAAGGCACACACGTATTTATACACTAACAATTAAATATAATTATTTAAAATTTTCTCACAATATAACTATACTATATATATTATCAAAGAATATTGTATTCTTTTGTAGTTTTGTACCGTTATCGCGTTAAATACCTACTATTGTCCACCGATGATCAGTGTACCAACTAAGATGAACCTTGTTAGGAAAAAATTGTACTTGTAATCTTATATGTACTTCTGTATTCTTTGGTAAAGATAACACAGATTATTTTAATAGATATCTGTCTTATCGACCAAATTTGTTCGGCATTAGTAGATATTTGTCTTATCAATTGGTCAAATATTACATGTTTATCTCTACAAGGAAATTACAATTCTTTAAAAAATGTTGAGAGAAAAAAGTCGACTATTCGTTTAAACTACTATCATTAAAAAAAAATCTTTTTTTTATGAAACTCTCTTTCAAGAATTCCTATACGAATTACTACTGGCCATTATAAAATTAAACAGGGGTAAACAATCACTTTTAAAGTATATATATATATTATATGTGTATATTAATATATATCCACAAAGGAAATGAAATTAGACCAGAGTTTGCTGAGAATAATTTAAAAAATAATTATATTAAAGCGGTAAATGTGGGTTTAATTAAATTTTTCTATAAAAAGCATTATATCAGATATTTTTTTGGAAGTGAATATCCGATTAAGAAAAATTATGATTCTACTTGAACGATATATAATTATTAGCAAATACGGTAGGACTAATTATGAACTGATAATGAAATACTTATATGTATTGATCATTATGCGAATACATTTTTCCAGTTGCTAATGCGTACTATTTAAATTAGTTTAAAAAGAGAAATAAACGTTGATTTGAAGCAATGTAAATTTATAAAAATTAATTAGCGATATACTCTATTAATTTCTTACGTGATTACATATTTAATTTTTTTATTTCTAACAATAAGACGATAAATTATAAAATTTGTCTATATCGTAGTTTATATCTTTATATCTTTAGACAAACAATTAAAAACTTAACATTTCAGTATTTGTGTTACATTCGAAGAAACTTGGAGAATTTCTCAGCTTTGAGATAAAATTGGCAGAATTAATGTCTCATTAAAGTGAGTTAGCAAACGCGATAGAAAGATAGTTTCGAAAGGATGTTAAGAAGTTACGATGTATCTATGAGTTAGTTAAGAAAATAAGAAAAGAGGTCTGGTACATAGTTAAACTTTGCTAATTATCAGTAAATAAGCTTAATTGGAAATGTTGGAAGTTAAGTGTCTTTGGTCCTCAACATGTTTGAGACTTTTACTTCTGATCTGAGATATCAAAGTTTTTGATATTTATTTGCTTTTTATAATTATTCTTCCATTTAATGTATTGAATTTAATCACTTTTTTCTTTAAAGTAAAAATTAAGAGAGTGTATAATGTTATGTAGGGGTTTTATTATACATCGGATTACAATATCACGTATCAACAATTTTATTTACTTTTCTTTTATTTAACATACAAGAGCTATCTTTGAACATGACGTATGTACGTATTTAATATGTATGCGTGTTTTGCATATGTGTATCGCGTGTGTTCGTGTGTATATATACATATATATGCATACGCACGCACGCACGCACGCATGCATGCAAATACACGTACTACGTATGCATATTTACATAATATACGTATATATTAAATTACTCCTCTAGGTTACACTGATATGATTTTAGTTACAGTGAAACTGTACAAAGAGCATATATAAGCATAAGACTATATTCATTTATCAATTATCATCATCATCATCATCATCATCATCATGCAACAACTTACAACCTCTTTCAGACATTAACTCTCTTTCTCTGTATCTTAGAATAATCTATTAGATAATCATCCCCCCATCTCTTTCTCTCTCTCTTGCTTATCTTTATATGTATATATATATATAATAGTTTTGTTTTTTAATCCGTAAACTTTTCTGATGCAAATGGCTCCCCATTTCGTAAATCAGCGAATGTTTATTATGAAATATTTAATTTGTTTCCCCTTCTGTTTGAATGCAAGCTGATTATTTCTTTGAAAAATGACAAAAAGAGAGTTCGAGTACGACGAATGCGTTAGAATGACATTTATTCATTGCTATAAATTGTCGAGCAAGGAAAGCGAATTTGTGTTTGAACTTATGTATGAATTTATATCTTACTATTTATCGTCATTTTATTAGTTTATCTTCTCGTAATGTATACTAACGAAACAATTTTTTGGAACGTACACGTTGCCATTGTATGCCGTGTGTGTCGATATTTAAATGAATATACATACATATTGATATATTATATATATATATATATATGTATATGCATATATACATGCATATTCATACGTATGAATATTATCGCGCTGGAAGGTAGTCACAGGAGAGTACCACGGAATATTACAAAATTTTCATAATTTTATTTCTTCACTTATAGTTAATATTAACTGTTTGCAAAAGCTTCTAAAAATAAAATGTGTTTTATTTATTTTTAGCCAATTCCTTATTAAAAATAATTTTTAACTTATTTGCAAGGTGAACTCGTTAAATTTTGACGTTAAACCTGAATTTAGCAAGAGAATAGAGAAAAGTTTGGAAATCACTGTTATATAACTTAATTATATATAATACGTAATAATTGATGAAATTAAGTGATTTTTATATATAGATCGTGTTATATTTTATTTCTTTTTATTTGGCAAGAGCATTGTCGGCATTAATTTAATTTTTCAAATTAATTCACAATTGAAAATCAATATTTTTGTTTGTCGCATTACATATACAGGATGTTTTTCAGATATGAGGGTATATGATTATGTGAACTTTTTTTCTTATTTTAGTGTACTGAAACCGCTCTTGAAGTTATGCCCATATATTATGAAATCTCCCTGTATATATATATTTTAATTTATCGAAAGTGACTCGTAAGTCATAGCGTTTTTTTACGATGAATATTTTAAATATCATTTATATATATATATTATATATATTTATGTATGTATATGCATGGATATGTATATGTATATTGTCTCCAAGGTGTACATGTATATGTACGAAACAGCCGGTTGTTCTTTATTGACAATATAATATATATGTTGTATATATATATATATATATGCACTCGTATATAATCATTATATTATAAATAAATCTAGCACGCGCGTTATACGATGATATCTACTAATTGTAAGTGATAATACGATGTATTTAATTATATATGTATATATATATATAATATATACATATATAAAAGACGTGTCACATTGAAAAAATATATGTATGTGTTAATTTATGGCAGATAATACGATTTACGTGTGAGTGTGTTGTAAGTACATGGATATGTGCGAATTCTCATTGCAACGACAAAATTTCGACAAAAAATTTTATTATCTTATTTCGCGTCGTCGACTTGGAAACACACTAAATTCTTTTTGTTTGTTTATTTGATTATTTTTTTATTTATTAAACGTATATATTTTTCTTTCCAGATTTTATTCTTGTCGATTATATTTTTTCGTCTTCTTTCTTCTTCATTTATACAGTTGCCTACTAACACTTCCGTATCGTTTGTATTAATTTTTTCGATTTTTTTTTTTTCTGTTTTCTCTTTTCATTCACACAAGCTGAAATGGTTTTTTTATTATTATTTTTTGCTTCTATTTTTTCCCTATGTTTTTTTTATTTTTTTGATCAAATTTTGAATGAAATCCGCGAAGTTACATGTGTACACGTATATATAAAAGTATTCGAGAGAACACTAGCGATACTTTAAAACGATCGAATGTCAGCAGGTTAGATCGCTAAGAAAATGATTGATAAAAAGAAAAATATATAAACAAAGAAATAAAAATAATTATTAGTCAACACATATGTACAGAGCAATAATTCAGTGTTCTCTCGATTTTAAAAACAAATTGGCTCATTCAATTCGTTGAAACAAGTTTTAGATTTACTTTTTTAATACATATTACGAAAGGCTGAGCTTTATTTTTATTTCTTATTTTGCAGATTATAATTAAAGAGCATATTACATATTCATTTTGCGACAAAAAAAACAAAGGAATCAGCACAAATCCGAACGTTTTATACCAAGTATTTTCTCTTTCTCTCTCTCTCTCTCTCTATTTTTTCCCTTTTTTGGGGGCTTTTTTAAATTAAGGTATCGTATATACATTTTTGTCGCTTACAACCTTTATTTTTTTTTCCTTTTTCTTTTTTTTTTAAGAGAATCCCACACTTAAATGTATCTCGCCAATTGGCCAAGAGAGTGAAGGGAGCGATATATAATATATAATATATAATATTGTATATATATAAAGTTTATATTAATAAATGTGGAATATATATAGGAACAATCTAATAACACAGTTACGAATGGATTAACCTAAGATTTTCTTGATTATATATAAGTATATATACATATATACATATATAATATGTGTACATATATAACGTTTATGTTCAGCCAAAAATCATTAACTAAACTTTTGGCCAAAAATGACTTATGTAACTTACATTGCTTATTAATTACATTACTATTTTGGATTCACACTAGCAATTACTCCATAAAAAGCATCAATAGTAATGTGTGAAAGCATTAACAAGAAGCATACCCTTCCCAAATCTAATTATTTTCTGTTACAAATTAATTTGACGAGTAATAACTGAGATTAACATAAATGATAGTTAGTGATTTTTGTCTGAACATAAATGAATTATATATAGATATTACGTGGTAAACTTAATTCCTGTCATAATTACTAGAGATTAACGTTTCGTTGGTAAGGTTTGCATATCTTTTCTAGTTTAAACGTCACTGAAAATGATTTAGACTTCACAGGTTATATATTTTGATGCCAAAGAAATTTATCAAATCGATTTAAAATGAACCGCTTATAAGCTGTTTTTGCGACATGTTCTTCTTCACTACTTCGACATTTAAGAAAACTACAGTTCAAACGAAACGTTTTTATTCTAAGTATATGTAATAAAATGATGTCGAAAATAACACGTAGAGTTTGGTATGAACGCTTTTCGAAACGATTATTTTAATCTGAGAAACAAAGAAAGTTCCGAATAGCCGACAAAATTTGAAGATTAGATTTAGTTGCACAAATTGTTCGATGAAAATTCAATTGAAACGTTTTTAAAATTGTCCAAAGGGTTAAATGTTATTTCAATGATTGTTTTAAAACGATTGAATGTGCCATGACAAAAATTCATAAGAAAAGGAAATATCTATCACATATGAAAGAGACGGAAAAACGATAAGAATTGAGTTTAACACATAATATACGTATATTATATATTATATATGTATATATACGTATATACTTACACATATATTCTTTATACGAATATCGACGCGACATTTTTAAGTTCTTTCATTGGACCTCGGATACGATTTAATACTTTTTCATTTCGTATTTCGATTTTAGTCTGATCTTCCTCTTGAATAATAATTTCGATCTTTTTTTCTTCTTTTTTTCGTTTTCCTTTATAAACGATAACGATCATCGAACGACGCGAGCGTTCGGAAGCAATAATGAACGATTTTTTAAATCATTGAAGGAGAATATACAAAAAAAAAAAAAAATAAAGAAAAAAATGATGAAAATGAAATTCAAGGGTATAAAGTAGGAAAAATTGACATTATATTTTCTAAGAAATATTTCAATCAAATTATTTAATTAACGTAAGGAGTTATACAAACTAAAACTCGATATAAAACTTTTTTTTTTTATTATCACATTAATTTTAACCAATAGAAAAGGAAAAAAGTGAAGAAAAAATCAAATTTGCAATAAATTTGCTTTTTGAATATTAGTTATACTACTAATGAATCAATCGCGTTGTGGCCCAGAGAGATCAAGGAAACTAATACTACGATGGAGACCTGTCTCTTTCTTTCTTCCTTTTTATTTCTGTATTCTCCTTTCACATAAACATTGTATATATATATATATACAGGGTGAGACAGAATTAACCAGATACATGAATATCTTCGTTGGATTTAATGTTACAAAGTATGTCTACATTAGAATTAAAATAGTTTCGAAAGACATCATAACACCATGTTTTTTAATGTCATTTTTTTTAGATCTGTTTCAAATCACTAACGTTTTTTCAAATGGAATTGCATTCTATTTTCTATACATTATTGTAACCGACACCTCAACAGTGTACTATAATATGATCTTTAATCTAGAAATATGGAACAAATAAAATTCAGCGTGTACAGGCAAAAGATGCTATTCTATTTTAAGAAAATGTTCTAAAAGATACCTAAAAAATGACATTAAAAAACATGATGTGAACATATGCGTCCTTTGAAATAATTTTGTTTCTGCTGTACACATACTTTATAACTTTAAATTCAACAAAGATATTCAGGTATCTGGTTAATTTTTATTCACCCTGCATATATACAGGTTTTATCAGATGTTATTCTTTATAAACTTTGTAAGCGCATTCTATGTTTAAAAATAAGAAAAAAATGTTATATAAATATAGGTCATTTAAAACTATATTAAAAAGTTGTATAACATAAATTGTAAAATTGTTAAAATATGTTGTTAAAAAACGATGTTTAGCGGTTTTGAAGTGATTCAATGCATTCTTATTTGAATAATATAATAGTTTGACCATTTAGATCACCTGACCTCCTTACCCCACTAGATTTTTATTTGTGGGGGGGAAACTAAAAGAAGAATTTTATGCTACTGAAATTGTTACGCTTGATTTTATGGTAGAACGAATTAAGGATGCAGTTGCAGAAATGATTAGAAATCGAAAGAAAAAATTTGCCACGTTATAAAAATAACATACCACATACTACAATCAAACTTTTATTCGCGTAGATGGGCAACATTTAAAACAGCACATTTAGATAGTGTTTTACTATTTATGTTTTTTTTGAATAAAGTTTTAAATGATTTATGTTTATATAACATTTTTTTTTTCATATTTTTGTGCATAGAATGCACTTACAACGTTTGTACGGAAAAACGTCTGACACCGTGTATGGTATGTGTACGTGTATGTATATAAGTTAGGAGCTAGGAAGGTTAACGCTAATTAGCACACTTATAACGACGGTTTTACTCTAAGATCGTTTTTTCTTGTTTTTTCTTTTTTTCCATTTTTTTCGTTATATATAATTTACAGATTAAATGATATCGTATATTAGTAGTTCTTCTTCTTTGTCTTCGTCTTTGTCTTCATCTTCATTTTACTTAACAAGATTTCGAGGGGATCGAGCAAGTGGTATTAATTCGAAATGGTTGATATTATTTTTATTTTGTTCTCATCCCACTTTATAAATTATTCTTGTTTGTTTTTTTATTTTCCTTGATCTCCCTCACAAACACGTTTCATTCATCTCTTAAGAATAATACTGAATCTACTCGCAAGGGTCTTATTTATTTCTTAACACCGGCATGTACATCGATTTTCTTCGAAAAAAGTAAATCGAGTATCACCAGATTAGTTTTTCTACTTTTTCTTCTTTCCTTCTTTCTTTTTTTTTTGTTTTTTAATAATTTTATTTGTTTTCATACCGACGATCATCACATTCAATGATCCTCGTGAATTTTCTTTTTCTTCTTTCATTCGAAGAAACGAGAAAAGAAATAAGAACGAGGAACATCGAGAAAAAAGGTGTGTGTGTGTGTGTGTGTGTATGTATGTATGTATGTGTGTGTGCATCGTTGATAATAGTCTTTTACAGTGGCACAATCTTCTCGTTTCGATGCATTGGTGTGTCGTAAGCAGGCACACACTTATAGTATTGCGGTGGATAGGAATAGCTTGCATCTGATGGCGACAGTCGACCACGGAAACGGTTACGAACGATGTGGATAATCAACAAAAGACAAAGCAACGCCAGGACGACGATCAACGTGATCGGTACCACACCCCAGCCTCTGTTATTCTGATGATTCGCTTCATTTTCCTTCAAAATTCAAAAATTTATTTGTAAATTGAATATTAATAACTATATGTATACATGTGTGTTTGTGTAAATATGAGTGTGTATATGTTACGATTAATGTTGAGATAATGGAGATTCTATAAAATGCCTAAAAATAACAATTTTTACGGTTTCTTCTTTTTTAAATTCCAATGATCTCTTATTATATTTTAAGAAAATATCGTGTATAATTTACTACATTTTTTTTTATGTAAGAATTCAAATATAAATTGATATTACTCTAGTTTTATTATAATTCAGATTAGTTAATATTTTGGTAGATAGACAAAAATTAGGATTATAGAAGGTTAATACTACATTTTTCTTGACAATAATCATTTATCTTATTATTACGAATCATTGAATTATTTGAAGTTATTGGTTAATGTGCGTTCATTTAATTCTCTCAATAAAACAAAAATCGAATCGATTAACTTACTGTGATCGGGCAAACTGGGCAGCACGTGTTTGGTTCTGGGGGTAAAGGATCGCTACAGGCCACCGAACAAACGGTCTCCTTGCAATTTACTCTACCGCCTATCTCGCACGTGCAAGTCGTGCAAGCATTTCGTAGCCAGCTTTCACCTTCCTGTATTGGTTCATTCTCGTCGTTGATGCAACTCGCTCGACACCGACATATCTGAAAATGAAGAAAAACAAACAATACTACTTCTGTTTATCTCTTATTTACTTTATTCTTTATTTGATTTTACTTTTTCATTATATATATTGTAAACCTTTTTATAATATATTATTGCGCTTTCATATATATATATATATATATATATATATTTAAGAGCTTAAACGTACAAGGACTCGTTTCGGTATACGTATATTAAACCTGATCTAGGTCGTAATTAAACGAGGTAAAAGCGGAAANATATATATATTTAAGAGCTTATTTAATTTTTATTTTATTATAAAATTCATTAGTTTTTAATAATTGGTTGTGATTAACGAGTATACTTGTCATGCAGAAAAAAATAGTTATATTTTGCAATTTAAAATATATATATATTATTATAAAATAAAAAATCGTTACCGGACAGCCTCGTTTGTTGGTCTTGTAACCAAATCTACATTTCTTTTTACATCCCATGAAGGAAGGACAATTCTCTTGAAGTGGTTTGCATTCGCATAAAGTGCAATCGTTCTCATCCATTATGAGACCATGTTCGCAATGAAGATCACAGTTTACTTCGGGACAGACAACTTTCTTATTGTCGTTATTATCGAAATTCTCGACATTTGGATGATTCCATGTTTGATTCGTCGAAGGGAAATTCAAGTTTTGTTGATTTCGTGGAGGCGTCAGTGGTATTGACGTTGATGATGAATTTGATATCGATTGACAAGCACAAATCGAACATCCAACCTCGTCTTTGACGAGATCGCAATTAAGTTCGCAGTTTGGTAATTCCGGACAGAGTTTATCCTCCTCGGATCCTGTGTGAATCATTTCGTTCTGAAAAAAAAAAAAATATTTTTATTTCGTTTTTATATGAGATAAGAAAGCAAAGTGATTGTTTACGAATATATTAGAATAATGATGATATTATTATATTTTTGTTAATCCTCTTTTAATAATATTTATTAGTGATTTTTTTAAATAGAAATTATATAGAATTACTTTTTGTTTAAAAATTAATGTTTCCTAATAATAAATGTAATTAATTAAAGCTCATTACGCGAGTACATTGTGAACAACTTTTACATTGAAATTCGTGTTCATAAACGTTTCGTTTGGTAATTGCAGAATTTGACGTATGTTCTCAGAATGCTTTATCTAGCCACGGCTTATAATATAAGGGGTTATGATAAATCATTGTTTTGTCTTTGATCAAATAAATAATGTTTTGGATTATTATTCTGCAATGTCGAATTGAATTACTGCAAACAAGATTGAATTATTTTAACAAGAAATAGAAAAGCAGAAAATTATAGCATTATGCGTTGTAAAAAAAAAGACACTTTAAAACTTATTTGTATATTGAATAAATAACAATAATAAATGTAGAAGAGATAGACAAAAAAAAATGAAAATGGAAAATATCTGACCTTTGTTGGTTTGTAACATTCACAAATCTGGCAGCCTTTCTCGTCGGTTAAGTAACGATCACAATCGAGGTTACAATCAATCAAAGAGGTTTTGCAATTCGATTTGCTATCGATATCAATATCAGTTAAACTCGTTGGTTGTGGACAGTGAGAGCAACATTCGCCTGGATCTGGTGGTATCGGGTTTGCACAAGATTTGCACATGATTCCTATACAAGAAACCTGACCATTTTCTTGGCATGTGCAATTTACGCAGGGTTCGTCTTTCCAATGCTCTCCAACTCGTCGGAAAAGTCCATTTTTGAAGAAACAATTTCTGGTATTGCCACCCTCTTCCGTTTCAACTAAGTATACGGATTCTGTAAGATTTTTTTATTAATTTATTAATTTTGTAATTATAAAATGAGCAAAATGAATGGACACTTTGGATTTCAAATGAAAAGAAATAGTGAATTCAACGAACACAAAAATGAATAAGCAAAGATTAATGTTATAATTATCAACTTATTTTTTTTCACATTTGTTTGAATTTAACGATTACTTGAAAAAAAAAAAACAAAACATTTAATTTATTCATTATTGTTTACAATTTATATAATTTGATAATATAAATTGTATCGTTTATCATATTTCTTACCATTATAAATTCGATAGTTGCGAAAGAAGAAATTGAAAATTCTTCATTTAGATGAATGCGGAAATTTTCAGTTTTATATCAAAATGTAATCCTATTAATTATTCAGTATAAAAATAATACACATATTAAAATGATTTAAAAAGTAAGATATTAAAATTCATCTGTTCGTTAAAACGTTTCACTTTAATTAAAAATTGTTTAATGAGAGATAGGAAAACAGGGTTAAAGTTTGATGCACTTTAAAATAATATGATTATAGGGAAGCGTGATATGAAATTATTACTTTATGTAACTAGTATTAACGTATTACCACTTGCACTAAGAGCATTAACACGTGTCAATATTTGCCTATTACTCTAGAACCATAATTAAAAGGTAATCGATTAAAAGTGAACGTCGATGTCGTTACTCGTGGATTAGATACCGATTAGAGAAGGTTGTTAAGTTCGATTTGTGATCGGATATACTCTTCGAACACTTTTCCTACAAACTTTAAATCTTCAATCCAATCTTGTATAGTCATTACGATTAGGTTTTAATGATTATCATATGAAATTTCGAAGGTAATATAGCCAATGTCATTAAGATTCGAGAGAGAGAAGAAGTGGGGGACACGAGATAAGAGTAAGCTCATTAAAATTCAACAGGTAGTGTGAAAGTTTTTAAGAAAGAATAAAAAAGAGAGAGAAAGAAAGAGAGAGAGAGAGATGGGTGATCACATTTAAATTGTTAATTAAAATATCTTTTTTTCACAATTACTTATTTTCGTTTTAGTTTAATTTGTCTAAACAGCACACTCTTCCTAATCGCTTCTTTATCTTTTTCTGTCTCTGTTTTTATTTTTCTCTATTTTCCTTTCAATCGATTCGAAGACGTACACGTTTTCCTATCTCACTGGAGATGTATCGAGGAAAAAGAAATGGAAATAGTGTGGTCTCAGTGCTATCACGAAGAAACACTTAGAATCGTGTGTCTCTAAGGGTAGAAAGTTGTTGCTTGGTGTTGATTGTACATGTGTAGTGGAGTGAAAGTAAAGGACAAAGGGATGACAGAGAGATAGACAGAAAGAGAGAGAGGAAAAGAGAGAGAGAGAAATAGAGAGGAAGTGTGGACGACGATTGGAATTGTGATTGGGAAAGGGAGAAAATGGAGATTCGAGATATCGACCCGATATTGTACGTGTATACAGGGTGAACCACGTAATTCGACCAGTCTGATTTTATTATCGAATCTTCTCTTGTCTATGTATCAACTTTAGATTCGATTTACCTCTTTTTAACAGTTATTTCATCTAAAACATCTTCATTTTCAATCTATCCAATTAATAGAAAGAAATGTTATTATCCGTTAAAAATTAATATATTTTGAAATAATAATTATCCACATTTTTGTCAATATGATTGCAAGGATTAATCGATTATTATTGGTAAGCGTGTGTGTGTTTTCTTTTTTATTATATTATATTTTTATGTTTAACCGGTAATAAGTAAAGATTTGAATGTAGATTTGTTTTTTTTTTTTATTACCTGAAGGTACACATTTGTAGAGAGGACAACAAAAACCAGGAGTATTAGGAACGGCTTGTCTAACTTCTACAGCACGTTCACCTGGTTTACAAGATGCAGGTGGACACATGGGTACACATTTACATACATCATCTTCGCTTGGAACGCTGTCCCTGGGACAACCGTTTTCTGAACTCTGTTGCTGATCTTGTCCTTCTTGATGTCCATTTTGTTGGTGTCCTGTGATCAGAAATGAGCACACTTCATATAACTTTCAAAATTGTATTATTATTATTCATAGCAAGATCCTATTATTTAAATAGAGATATGCATATACAGGGTGTCCTGTAACTGGTAATATGTAATTGGTAATAAACGAGCAAGGTGTAATTTTATGTAAAATAATTCATAAGTCGAAGGTGCAGAATAAAATGATTTTATAAATGACTTTGGTTTCGAGAAAAATAAGTTTGAAAATTTGCCAAGTATACGTGTACTCGATTCAGTTTCAATTATATAGATTTTGCTATCTTATTCTCGGATATTTTGGGGAACATTTTTGTGCTTCCTAATATATTTATAAATATTGTCATTATCATGATACCTCTTGTATCGATTTTTTTCTTATATTTATCTAACAAGGCTTTTAGTTTCTAGGATTGCAAGCTCAGCTAAGTGCACATGCATTCGACAGATTCTTAAATGTATTTTTCTCTAAAACAAAGCCTTGTATGAAAATATATATTCAATATTTTCTACTTAGTTTTTCATATAGAATCACACTAGCGTGTACTACTATCAGCTACAAGAATCCCTGTATAACAAATAATGTTTTATCACATAACGCTAATAATTATTTCTTGTTTAAATTCGACTTTGCTAAAAATTTCAAATTGGCGTAAGATTACGTTATCGATACTACCTAAATTAAACATTTTCAAATGTCATATTGTTATGTTACTGATAACGAAATTGTTAATTATTTATATCAATGATTAATATTTTCTTTTCAAATATAATTAAGATATTTCAATATATATTATATTCAATGACTACGTAATTTAGTAATTATCATAATAATTATAATTATTACGTGACTATTACCTGAGGGAAGACATTCGTAATGAGAACAGCAACTACCGGGTGTCCCAGGAATTCCGATCTTTGTTTGTAGCAGACGTTGTCCAGGTTCAGAACAGACTGGTGGTAAAGGACATGGAGTGCATTTACACTCGCCATTTTCATTTTCCACGCTGTCTTCAGGACATTTCGAGCCGTGCAGGAGATCTTGAAAAAGAAAAGAAAAACTTTAGTATGTGACTGAGAAGTTGTTGTTTTTTTTTTCTTTTTTCTTTTTTATTAACTCCATACATTTTCACAATTTGTCCGTAGACATTTGGTAAATTGTTATATAAGTGAAAAAAGATAACACGTGGACGGTTTTTCCAATGAGATAGCGTCGCTATTGTTATTTATTTCGGTTAGGTTTAATTTTTTACAAGGTCTCCTGTGTGGGTGGATTTTTTTGAGCCTTCTAGGGATGTATTGCTTGTAGTGTTAGTATCTTCGTGAAATGAAAGTGATGTCAGGTATCTTTTGAATTCTGCATTGTTGTGATCCCGTATGCTATTCTTAACATCTATCTTTAGTTAATTTGTTTAGTAGTCTTTTATTACTACTTGTTTGATTTTTTTGCCACCTAGCTTTAGCTTGTCTTTTTAATTTTATTTTATGCAAAATATTGCTAGGATATGACGGGATGTTTCTGGATAAAACATTTTCAGATGTAGACGCCCACGCTGCTTCTTGTATAGCATCTGTTAAATTATTAACTGCTTTTTCTATTTGAAAAGAGTTCTTCAGCAGAATATTACTATTTGACTGAGAAATATCTTCTTTCTCTTTTTCTCCCTTTTTCCTATTCTTTTCGTTTTGTCTTTTTTTTTCTTTTTCTTTTTCTTTTATATTTTTATTCTTTACAATAAGAAATATCGTTGGATGAAACTGTAATCCGTAATGTCACTCGTTGAAAATATCTACCGACGAAAAGAGAGGATATATTTTTCTTATACAATTTTCTATTTTCCACCGTATACATGTTGTTTCTCTATTTTCTTTTTTTTTTTTTTTTTTTAGCAACAAAAGTTTCGAATACGTTCAATTATACGTGTAGTCGAGTCTCGTGGAACATCGTACGGTCAATTAAATTATGTGTGCAATTAATTTAAGACATTTCGATAATCAAGAAAAAAAAGAAAAAATGGAAGAAAGAGAGAGAGAGAAGAGAATGATTCATTCATTGCGTTAATTTTTAGACTGAAAAAAATGAAATCCGATAAATCGATAGAAAACTCATACGTTTAGTTATAATTTCAATTGAAAACAAGAAAAAAGAATATTCGTGTTGCGCGATAGAAGTGAAACTCGTATTATCGTGTGGAAAATAATCAATCGATTTATATACAGTGTACATTTAAAATCGTACATGTTGATATTACTTTAATAACCGGGGGGAATACCAGGTTTTTTTCATGTCGAACTTATTTCCGTGCTTCTAAATTACAGTATATATTTTCTTCGATTATTTAACAATCATTTAAAATATATTAAACACTCTAATATACTTTACTAATATTTAATATTGTTTAAACTAAAATATACATTTGTTTTAAAGTTCCTGGTCATGAATGTTGAAAATTTTCATGTAATGAAATATCAAATTGAAATTGTATAATATTCGAAGTATATTAATAGATGTGTAATTTTGCTTTGTATTATAACAAATATTTAAATAATAGTAAAAAAAAACAAAGGGTGACCAATCGTTGGACATGTGAAAAAACTGGATATGTACGATTTTAAAGTGCGGGTGTTTCCTGTATATTATTTTCGTATTTGTTTAATTCATTTATTATAAATAAAGCTTTCTAATCAAACCCATATTAAATATAAAAAATTAAGATATACTAATGTATTTTTATTTAAAAATTTTCTTCATCCTAAACAGTTTATATTAACAGTTTTCAATAAAAAGATCTAGTAAGTGTAATGGTGTACAATTTTAATCTCTAAGCACTAAATGTGTGTATATATGAATCAATTAATTATTTTCCACATGGTAATACGAGTTTAATTTTTATCGTGCGTAGAGGATCATTATTTTTTTTCTCCTTTTTTTTTTTAAGAATAAAAGAAATTCTATGCAAAATTGTATACAGTTGAAAAATTTGAGGATCCTCGAGTTGAGCTTTTTTATCTTGTTCAAATTCCATTGCAAATCGGAATTTGTATAGTTCTGTTTGACTTTAACAATAAGTGCTGCTTGTTTGTTTGTTCACGTACGTTTAAGAAAGAAAAAGAGAAATAGAAATAGAAAAAGAAAGAGAGAAAGATAGAGAGATAGAAGAACCATTTATTAAAAGATTGCAGAGAAGAGCGTGCGGCATTTGCGTTATACGCTCGGAATGTTCTTATTGCAAAATTGTACCGAAGGTAAGCGAAGCGTACGCGTTTCGTAAATGTAGAATACGATCCAATCCTAAGTCTGAAATCTTTTGCGTATCTTTCTCTGGGATAGTTTCACTTGATTATAAAAAATTAAACAGATTAAAATATAGGATTACAGCTTTTAAATATTCTAAGTATTGTTAATAATGAAAAACATTGTATTTATTTATTTAATCAAATTTTTATTTGACATGTTTATCGAATGAAAAAATTAATTGAGATCGTGTGAAAAAAAAAGAAAAAAATAATATCGAATTTAATTTATAATTTTTATAATTTTAATTCTATTTATAATTTCAAATTATATGAACGTAATCGTACATATAATTATATTCACATATGGGAGCTTAGAAAGTTGTTTATTGTTCACTTCGTATTTAGTTTGTAAAAGTTGAATTTGTGGTTTTGATAATACACATTATTGTCTCAATAGTTTAATAAAAAAAGGATGAAAAATATTCTAACGAAAGGAGCTTTTTGTGTGTACAACAAAAAGAGAACTCGACGAAATAATATTCCTGAAACATTTTATCGATAACTATTATATTTTTTTCTAGAATTGAAATCATTATTTTAAGATCTCCAAGGATTTTATAATAACTTATGAATTCTTAAAATGGTGATCATACTTTTTCTTTTATTATAAAATTCACCGAAGTGAATTCTTTTTTACAAAAAGAGAAAGATAGAATTTTCTATAAGTACTTTCGTTGAATAAGTATGTAAGATTTAATCAGTTCTCATGAACTTCATAGATGTATTTTCATTGAAATTAAACTAATCAATAAAGTGGATCAAATAAAAGTTTGATCATTAAGATTTGACTATTTTCTATTCTCGTTTTCGAAAAATTCCGCAAAAATTGTCTTCAACACGTATATTTTTAAGGCTTTTATATTAAAGATAGAAAATCGACAATAAATTTTCTATTTTTTTTTCTTTTTTATATTTTGATGAAAAAATGTAATTAATTATATGCACATATAATAATAATAACTGTGTCTTATTTATTGAAGAGAATATTAACAGAAGGAATGGCATGATGGTAAAAATTCGAAGAAACAATTCGATCGGAAGGATCCAACGTTAATCTCTCGAGTTTCCAGACATTTGGCTAACGTTCTTACAAATTACTCGAGACAGGTTACACGTGCTCGGTGGGTCGTTTCGTAGCTCGGTGAAAATTAAATCGCGAAAGAATGGTCGTATCGGCGCAATCGTATTCCAAGTATGCGAGAGAAAGAGAGAGAGAGAGAGAGAGAGAGAGAGAGAGAGAGAGAGAGAGAGAGAGAAAGAGAAAGAGATAGATAGAGAGAACGACCAGAGCACGTCCTCTTATCCACGCCTGATATCCTTTTGTACTTGGTATATACGATCATGCATACCCACATATCTATATATATACTTAACTATATATCTACACACAGAGATAAACACACACGTATAGATATATACACGCGTATCTACGCTCACAGGATTTAATGGAATTGCTTGTTACGCCCGAATGCTTCGATTCGAGGGTTAAAAAGAGAGAGCTGTGCTAGTCCGTTTGTCGGAGAAAACTGCACTTTCGTGCTGCAACACAAAAGCACACGATGAGTCGTCCCTTTGTCGCGTTCGAGTAAAATGTTGACGATGGGAAAACCCGTTAGCAAAGTAGATCGCGATCTTTAGATCAGCAGCCAGAGGAGTAAAGAATTTTAACGTCTATTTCGAATAAATCTTTCTGATTGTGTATGTGTGTGCGCGCTTATTGTCTGCCCAAAGCTTGCCTTTTACTACTATTACTGTTAATACTACTCCAACCTATCCTTCCAACTTTCCACTGACTTTATAATTGCTCAACGTTCGTAACATGATCTGTTACTGTGATCGGATACGAGAATGAACATCTTTATTATTGAAGAATAACGTTAATTGTTTCTACAAGATTCATTCCGTTTGCGATGAAAGTTGATGCATTTTGAAATGAAAAAATGATGAGTATATTGATCTTTATTCCTTTGTCAAAATCAATTGCGTTGGTTATGATAAAAAGAGAGAAAGAGAGAGAGAGAGAGAGAGAGAGAGAGAGAGAGAGAGAGAGAGAGAGAAGGGGAAAAGTAACATTTGACAAAGGTTCGAGATGATATTCTAGTCAGGTAACGTCAATTGAAAATTTCCTCGATAATCTCGTTCACGCAGAGGATGCACCGTAGGTAGCATCGGTTCAGTATTGTGGCTTTACTTGAAACATTAACGTTAACGTTAACGTTAACGCAAGCTACCTACATATATAGTAATACTATAGTAGAGCTTGGAAGCTCGTGGAAATTCGGTAGAGTAGCGTCAAGGCGAATAAAAGCGTTGCATCGTTGGGTAGGTTGGATACGAGAGGACGCTCGGTGCTTCACGAAAGATTGCATTAGTCCTTCTGCCGGACGCAGGCTTGCAAGTCTTGCATACCGAATGAGCTTATTGTTAGCTAGGGCAAAGCCAACTCTTATAAGCCACGACGCAGGATTCTGTGTGAATCCGGTATTGGTGTACGTTCCTGATGTTATTGGTGTTAGTGGTCCAGAACACAGCATCCCTTGTCTCATTCTCGTCTCGTTCTTCTCTATTCGTGCACTGCCTTCTCAACTTTCCGCACACTTCTACTCACAGCCCTTTTCTTCTTTGTTTACCGTCTTTTCCAACGCAACACTCTCAACTTTTTTCCCCCTCCAGTCTTTCTCTCTTTACGTCGGCATGCAACCAACGTCGTTGGCAAACTTTACATTCTTTTTTCTTTATTCTTC